TAGGTAGCAGCTCAGTTAAAGCACATTACACTAGCCTACCCTAAAAAAAAATCTTTAGCCCTAGCAGGTTTGGCTCAGAGGTTAGAGCACTGGCCTGCAAGGACCAATGAGTCCCGGGTCCAATTCCGGTCAAGGACGCGTATGTCGGTTGCTGTTCGTCCTCGGTTGCTGTTCGTCCTCGGTCGTGCAGGAGGTCACTAATCCATGTCTCTCTCACACTGATGTTTCTCTCTTCTCCCTTTCTCTCCCTCTCTCCTCCTCCCACTCTATCTGAAGATAAATAGAAAACTATCCTCAGGGAAGGATTAAAAAATAATAATAAGATGTGAGATTTAACTGCCTGTTTTACAAAAAAATTAGAGGAATTCCTCAACATAAAGATGACTAAATACATTACATTTATGAACTTTTCTAAATAAAAAAAAATTATTTTCAATAAGATTGAAAAGTAGAGTCTCCTAATTTATTTGACCCTGTATGAAAAGCCAGAAAGAAACCTAGATGCCAATTTGTCAATTTATTCAGATAGAATGCTGATTTCTCAAGGGGTTAAATGATATCAAAAAGGCTTATTGAGGATGTAATAACTTTTAAAAAGACTTTGTATGCTAACAAATATTTGGTTTCTGATTTATACATGAAGAAAAAGGAAAAGCAAGAACAATTTTTTTTTTTTAAATCCTCACCCAAGGACATTTTTCCATTTTTTGTTCAGAGTGGGAGGGAGAAAGAGGAAGAGAGGAAGAGAGAGAGAGAGAGAGAGAGAGAGAGAGAGAAACATCAACATGAAAGGGACATATCGAGTGGCTGTCACCCACATGACCAACCAGGGCCAGGGACAAACCACAACCGAGGTTTGTGCCCTTAGCGGGAACCAAACTCGGGTCTCTCTGGACCACAGGCCAACGCTCTAACTGCTGAGCCAAACCAGCCAGGGCAGCAAGAACAAATTTTAAAACATTTCCCAATGTTTTACAAAATTATAATGGCCATGGGTACAAAAAGAAAAACCACTGAGAACAGTGGCACTAAATAAAAACTTAGGTCTCTCTGCTGTCATATTTGATTTTATCTTGAGGTTAAACGTTGTGCATGAATGAGAACAAAAATGCAAAAACAGAATGTAGGTTATCTATCTTCATAAAAATGTCTAAATTAGTTAGTCACTGTCATCTTTTACTCACAACTATTTGCGATCTCTGTACTTTTATTTTACAAAACTCAGAGAAAAAAACATGTTCTTATTAAAACATTAGCTTTAATAAATATGTGGTCCTCTTAAGTTTGATTTTCTTCAGGAAGATGGGATCATCTTTACACCCCAAAGGAAAAACTTTTATAATAATTCTTTAAAAATAAACTTGTAGTGAAGCAGGCATCAGAGGAGCCCCTCAAGGGCATCTTGGGCTATACTGAGGACCAGGTTGTCTTCTGCGACTTTAACAGTGACGCCCACTCCTCCACCTTCAACATTGGGGCTGGCACTGCTTTCAATCATTTTGTCAAGCTCATTTCCTGGTATGACAATGAATTTGGCTACAGCAACAGGGTAGTGGACCTTATGGTCCACATGGCCTCCGAGGAGTAAGAATCCCCTTGACCACCAGCCCCAGCAAGAGGAAGAGAGGCCCTCCACTGCTGGGAAGTCCTTGCCCCCAACTGATCCCTCAATACAATGAGGATCTCTTGACCTCCACAGTTTCCATCCCAGATCCCCTGAAGAAGGGGAGGGGCTTAGAGAGCCCTACCTTATTATGTACCATCAATAAAGTTCACTGTACCCAACCAAAAAATAACAACAAATTTGTAAGACATTACTCATCTTTCCAAAATACTACTGCATATATGGAAGGCTACAATAGGGAAGCAACTTAATTAAGCTAGAAAGCCTCTGTTATGGGTTGAATTGTGTCTGTCCCCTTTGCCTTCCTAACCCCTAAAAAGATAAGTTGAAGTTCCAACACCCAGTACCTCAGAATGTGACCTTATTTGGAAACAGGACTGGAGTAGGATGGGCCTCTAATGAAATATAATAGGTGTTCTTATAAAGAGCTGATCACATGAAGACATAAAGACAAATAAGAACTCCAAGTGACAATGAAGGAACAACTGGGAATGCCAAAGATTGCCAGCAAACCACCAGAAGCTAGATGAGGCAAAGGATAATTCCCCTACAGGTTTCAGGGGGAGCATGGCACTGCTGACACCTTGATTTTGGACTTCCTAGCCTCCAAAACTGTGAAACAACAAATTTCTGTTTGTGGCACTTTATTGTAACAGCCCTAGGAAATTAATACAGCTACCATTTAACAAGAAGAGTAAAAAACAGTCACATAACTCTATATATAACAATCATGATCACTACAATCCATTACACAATCAAAACAGAATGCTGGTCTTATTTTGGAATGGTCATTATCAACAAGTTCTCCAGAAGTGAATTTATGTTTCTAGTAACTATCACATTTATTCACTAGTATCTAGGCTAGACTACTACCTAGGACAGTAGGTTTTATAAAATGTGTATGTTTTTCCATCATTTTCTAATTGGGTAACCAAGTCTTCATATTCTTACTTTATATCTTACTTATTTTGACTAGGTAGTACATATACACAGTAAAATGGGATATGAAGTATTTCACTTTCACTCTCCTATCCACGAATCACCTTATTTTCCACTCTAAAGATAACCATTATCTACAGTTTTTTAATGTATTTTTCCACTGAGATTCTATGCATTTATTAAAATAAATCACTTCATGTATCTTGGGAGACCATTCTATATATGTAGAACTTGTTGTACAGTATTCCACTGTATCAGTTCATCATAATATACTTAGCCAATACCCTATAGATGAATATTCAGGTTGCTGTCAATATTTGTCACAAATTATATTATAATGGCTATCTTTTTATTATCTTTTCATTGAGCCCCTTGTTATCCTATTTGTAACTGCACTACCCTATTTCCTACCCTAGCAGTCCTCATCTTGCCTGCTTTATTTTTCCTCATAGCACTTTGAGTTATCTAGCTGTCTATATAGTTTACCCATTGATTTGCTTGTCTTCACCAGCTAAACTGTAGGCTCCACGAAAACACAGTTTTTGTCTCTTTAGTTTGCAGCGGAACTCCTAAGTACCTAAGTGCCTGGCTGGCACAGCTAATGCTCAGTACTTACTGAATAAGTGAATGTTTTTATTTGATCCTACAAAAACATATGTGATAACTAAAGATACAACATATCTTCTTTTCAAGGCAAAATAAATTACTTCCCAAACTGCTCAGTAATTTGTCTTCTTTGTCTTGTATTAATGTTCTACATTGTGTCAAATAGACTGCATTTTATTTTATTTTATTTATTTATTTTAAATCCTCACCTGAGGATATTTTTCCACTATCTTCAGATAGAGTGGGAGGGAGGGAGAAAAACATCGATGTCAGAGCTATACCCCAATTGGTTGCCTCCCCCACACAACCCCAACCAGGGCCAGGGACCGAACCACAAGCAAGGTACGTGCCCCTGACCAAAATCGAACCCGAGACTCTTTGGTCCACAGGCTGATGCTCCAACTGCTGAGCCAAACCGGCTAGGGTAAGATTGCTGCATTTTAATTTGACCCACATTTGATATAGTCTGTGAACCCAATAGTGGCTAATTTAATCCAACCTATTTGACCAAGGATAATGTTTCCTGGTCTTCTGAATATTAACCCAAATAGTGGGCACTTAGTTTCTAAACCCTTGTATGTAGTGGCCCTCCTGAACTGACTATATCATTAACATGCAATTTCTTCTACCAGTTGTGCATTTTCATTCAGCAGAACAGTGACTCAGTGTGGTATTATTTCTGGTAAATGCAGAAAGTGCTGAATCTCAACTTATCTTGAGAAAGTCAATACACGTTCGATTTGTCCCAACTGCCTTTATAAGGAGTTAATGTGTTAAGCTGGGTCGTTCTATTGCAGAGGATCAGTCTGCATTTCAGTCAGGTCCTGTCACACTAGAGCCTCAAGGTGAAGAGGTCACTGAAAACTGTCCATTGGGAAGGGGAGGGATGAGTATTTAGAAAAATAAGTTCTTAATCATTTTTTTTTTTTTTAATCCTCACCTGAGGACATTTTTCCATTTTTTGTTCAGATAGAGCGGGAGGAAGAGAGAGAGAGAGAGAAACACTGACGCGAAGGGACACATCGAGAGGCTGCCACCCGCACGACCAACCAGGGCCGGGGACAAACTGCAACCTAGGTACATGCCCTTAGCGGGAACCGAACCAGGGTCTCTCTGTACTGCAGGCCAACGCTCTAACCGCTGAGCCAAACCAGCCAGGGCCTTAATCATTTTTAGGTTACTAAAATCTGACAAATCTGCAAACCCTACTATAAAAAATCTTTATATTCAACTGTTCATCATTCAAATTAACAAATACACACACACACACACACAATTCGGTATGAAGATCTCCATTTTAAGCTTAGTAGTCAATGATTTACTCCAAGAGAACACAACAAAATGGTTTCCTAACAACTTTTAAATCCACCTTCTTCTGCATATGTACAACCTCATCTGTTACCAAGAGCCAAATAACCCCAAAACTTAGCAAAGAAATTATTAGGAAGGTTCTTAAGGACTGGGTCATGTTTGTCACAAAAACAGCACTTTGAAGGGTTCTTTGTGCTTAAGACACTGCTGGAAAAAGATAATATGAAATTTGCGAGATAACTTAGATATAAATGACACGTATTTTGAAAATTGTGTTTCTAAACAAGATAAGAATCTATATATTTAAAAAAAACAAAAAAACAGTTATGGCCATCAAACAATAATTTGGAGATTTACTTTTTTTACTCCTCATCCAAGGATGTGTTTGTATCAATTTTTAGAGAGAGAGAAAAACATCAATCAGTTGTACAAACCCCAAACAGGGATCAACCCACAACCTTTTGGTATATGGGACAATGCTTCAACCAACTGAGTCACCTGGCCAGGGCTGGAGGTTTACCTTTTTGTTTGTTTGTTTTGGTACGTGCCCCTAGTGGAAACTGAACCCAGGATTCTCTGGTCCGCAGATCAAAACACCACCCGCTGAGCCAAACCGGCCAGGGCTGTTTTTCCATTGAGCTTTTGACAGAGTGGAAGGTAGGGAGGGATGGGGAGAGGGGAGAGACACAGAAAAGGGGGAGGGAGAGAGAGAAACATCAACATGAGAGAGACACATCAACTGGTTTCCTCCCACATGACCATAACCAAGGCCAAGGATCAAACCACAACCGAGATATGTGACCTTGACCGGAATCAAACCCACAATTCTTTGGTCTTTGAGCTGATACTCTAACTGCTGAGCCAAACCACCCAGGGCTAGAGGTTTACTTTTATTAATGAGAAAAAGGAGTATGCTTAGGCTGCTTGTACAGGCTTTCCCAACACCCAAGAGACTTTACATTGATCCACCTTTTATTTTATTTTTTTCTTTATTGATTTTAGAGAGAGAGAGAGAAAGTTGAGGGGAGAAGAGACAGATAGAAACATCGATGAGAAAGAACATCGATTGGCTACCTCCTGCATGCCCCACACTGGGGATCGGGCCCACAACCTGGGTATGTGCCCTGATGGGTATTTGAACCGGCGACCTCTTGGTGCATGGGTTGACACTCAACCACTGAGCCACACCAGCTGGACTGATCCACCTTTTATTCTAGTTTTTTTTTTTTTTTTTTTTAATCATCACATGAGGATATTTTTCTATTTATCTTCAGACAGAGTGAGAAGGAGAGAAAGGGAGAGAGAAACATCGATGTGAGAGGGACACATCAACTGATTGCCTCCCACAGGACCCCAACCAGGGCCGGGGACGAACCACGAGGGACAGGCCCTTGGCCAGAATCAAACCTGTCACTCATTGGTCCGCGGGCCAACGCTCTACCACTGAGTCAAACTGACCGGGACTATTCTAGTATTTTCTTTTTTATATTCAACTCTGGAAAACTGAGCATTCATCTTGATACAGAGTGTAGGTAGACATCCAGTTTTCTTTTTTTCTAATTGTTGTATTTTGGCAATCACTTCTATGAGGTCTTAGTGACATTTTATTTGGAGACAGGAAGGGAGAAAGAAAGAGAGAAACATCAACCAGCTGCCTCTCGCAGGTGCCCCAACAGGGTATTGAACCTGTAACCTGGGAATCAAACCTGCTGCATGGGATGACACTCCAACCAACTGAGCTACCTGGCCAGGGCCCCATGAGGTTCTGATTACTATGTTCATTGGTTTGTAAAGTACTATAAAAACCAAATGGTTTCATCATAAAGGTCAGTTATACAGTTTGTCAAAACAAAGCTTTCAAGACAAAATAAAAACACAAATAAGATAATTTACCTGAAAGGGTAAGTACACAATACCAATTAAAGCAGAAGAAAGCTGTTCCCCTAAACTCAAGAACCTTCAACCCAGTGCAAGATTTGATACTTCCCAAAGGGTAGAGAGGTCTGAACAGTTTTAACAAAATAAATTTCCAGATCTCCAAGTTCCTTTTGTACTCTTTTCTAAAAGTGATGTGCTCAAGCATCTTCATTCTTTTTCTACCATCCCTTTCACAATAGGTCTTCTGGGTTAAGAAAGTCATAGTTCTTACTCAACTCAAATTTTAACATGTATGGTACTTTGCTTCAAGAAACCACCAGGGCACCAAATGGATAACTGGGAGAGATGAGGAAGAGTCTCATGTGAGCAAAGCAAATAATACTAAACAAACTCATGGCAAGGCTCCTTGCCTAATAAGTCAATCGATCAATCAATCAATCAATCAATCAATCAATGTTAGATTTAGAATATGGAAGTGAAAGTAACTGTCCAAAGGTTGTACAGTGCAGGTGTTGCCATGTTTATTAGAAATGAAAGTCAGATCATTTCTGACAAAAAAAATACCCAATTTGGCTGGTGTGACAAAATAGTTTCATAGCAGTATTTTCCATTAAGGTAAATAAGCAGAACACACAGGGTCAAGGTTTTTGACAATAAATTCTTTTTTTTTTTTTTTTTTATCCTCACCTGAGGACATTTTTCCATTTTTTTGTACAGATAGAGTGGGAGGGAGAGAGAGGAAGAGAGAGAGAGAGAGAGAGAGAAACATCGATGTGAAAGGGACACATCGAGTGGCTGCCACCCGCACGACCAACCAGGGCCGGGGACAAACTGCAACCGAGGTACATGCCCTTAGCGGGAACCGAACCCGGGTCTCTCTGGACCGCAGGCCAACGCTCTAACCGCTGAGCCAAACTGGCCAGGGCGACAATAAATTCTTCTAAAACATACACAACATACAATACTCCAGAAATTGTATCTTATGCAACTTAAGACTAAAATGAAAAATTTTAGGTGCCAGTTCTAAAATATATAAGGAAGTACAAAGTTTCTCAAAAATATTTTAGAGAGTACATGCACAAAAATGTTTAAAGATTACATTAACTTGCTGACACGAAATAGCAGTGCTCTAGAACTAGAATAGCAACAGAATATCATGAGCTCTTGAAAAAGTGGGAACCAACCCTTCAATTTCAGTGCAAAATAATTCTTGTATGAATACCTAATTCCTTGCTCCAAGTAGTCAACAGGTGTCTCATCTCAAAAGCAGAGTTAAATTTCCAGATCAGCCCTGGCTGGTTTGGCTCAGCGGTTAGAGCGTCCACCTGCGGTCCGGAGAGACCCGGGTTCGATTCCCACTAAGGGCACGTACCTCGGTTGCAGTTTGTCCCCAGCCCTGGTCGGTCGTGCAGGTGGCAGCCACTCGATGTGTCCCTTTCACATCGATGTTTCCCTCTCTCTCTCTCTCTTCCTCTCTCTCCCTCCCACTCTGTCTGTACAAAAAATGGAAAAATGTCCTCGGATGAGGATAAAAAAAAAAAAAAAAAAAAATTTCCAGGTCAACCTAATACTTTGTCTTGCAAACAGCTGCCATCTGAACCTAATATGCCCAACTAACTCTCAAATACTTACTATCAAAGAACCTAAATTACAGTATTTGGAAGTTATTTAACATAAGGCTTTTTTTTTTTTTTAAATCCTCACCTGAGGATATGTTTTCATTGATTTTTAAAGAGGAAAAGGGGTGGGAGAGAGAAACATCAATCAGTTACCTCCCATACACGCCCAACCTTTGTTGTCTGGGAGGAGGCTCCAACCAACTGAGCCACCCAACAGGCCAGGGCAGCATAAGGCTTTTTTTGTTTGTTTGGTACATGCCCCTAGCGGGAACTGAACTCAGGACTCTCTGGTCCACAGGCCTACGCTCCAACCACTGAGCCAAACCAGCCAGGGCTAGGCTTTTTTAAAATAAGATGCTTACTATACTAAAATTACTCAAATATGAGAAGTATAAATATTTTGATAGAAAAGCACAACAACTTGTATTGTCTCTCAAAATTTGAGGAAATAGAAGAAATTTAGAAAGCTTAATATCAAAAAAGCATACTCTTTTCATTCTAGATTATATGAAGAAAGCTGTAATTACCAGCTCAGACATCCTTTTAAAAGATTGCCACAGCTTCTCGTATGTTGACAAAATAACAAACTGAGGTAGCATTATTTGAATTAAAAAACACACTTATATTATATATTAATTCAGTTCAATAAAAACCCTGCAATTAGAGGAAACAGTAAGATTTTACAGTTACATCCTTTGGCAATATTTCATCTAGTCAATCCAGAGAGAAACACACTGTAAAAAAAGTTTCTACAAACATTAGTTTGAGTTTATTTCCAATTGAAAATTAGAGCTGACATGCTGCTTCATAAAAATAACAGAAAAATAATACAATATAACAGAACTGCAAAATAACAGAAATTACAAGAATTCACATTCTGCTTTATGATAATAACAACAGTAATTGCTCACATTAAAGAAAAATTTCTGAAAAAATCAAGTATAACTTGGGTTTTTTAATCTTACCACCTTCAAAATATACCGTACATGAAGCCTTATCACTCAATAAACAGAAGGCTTCTGCTGAATGTTAGAGATGTTGGATTGGTCAAGTAGCACTTGGCATTCATTCTTTCCCACTACTCCCTATACATGCCTTCCTGTACTTCAGGGGCAGGAAGGCTAAAACAAAACAAAAAAACCTACATTTCCCAACCCTTATAGTTTTAGCATTTGGAGGTTCTGCCAGTAAGGTGACCTCTTTGGAGATTTGGAAAGCAAAAGCAAGCTGGAAGCTCTTTCTACTGCCGATTTTGGTAATCAGTAACACAAAGAAATGAATGATTAGAAGCTGTTACAGGAGCCAAACTCTACAGTCACCAGATTTAAGGGTACCTAAAAGCAGTCAGGGCACCAGATTCAGTATTCCAATGACTGGTTCTCAGTTTCAGCTTCCTGCCCTCTCAGCTATGGTCTTAAATGTTCTTAAATACATTAGTCGAGTGATGGTCCTCTGCTGGCTCTTTCAGACCATCAATGATTTTTATAAGTGCCAAAGGCCCTGTATAAAATAGCTTTCTGCCTGAAAATCCTAAAGTAGTTTTTTTTTCTTATAATGAACTGACAGATACAGTATTGTTACATTTTAAAATACACATTACCTATATCTATCCTCCCCACTTTACAAGTCAAATACCTAAGAATTAGTGTTATTCTACCCCATAATTATGATTTAAAAATTTGATGTCAATATAAAGAATTAAAAGTTCTCTTGGCTATAGTCTGGAATAATTTTATTTACAATATATGATAATTATTTGATCAGCATAAAATATTAATATTCCTAACACTGAATGAGCTTGCTTTTCTTGGCTTAATAAATTTACATCAGTAGCATACAAAACTACAGCTATGGTCATTTAAAAAATTTTTAACTTATTATAAAATATATGCTTGTTGTGGAAAGTATGGAAAAATACTAAAATGTTTTTAAAATTTGATACTCACCATACCCCATAACTACACACACTGAGTAATGATTTGTACACACACTACTTTGCACCCTACTTTAGCACTCTGACAATCTTTCCCCTGCAAACATTCCATAACAAATTACTAATGGTGGTATATGCTGAA